AGCCTGTTATACAGACAGTCAGATTCATTTTTGAAACATTCTAGACTCTGTATCCACTCCTACTTTACCCTGAGCTCAATCATGTTGTAGCTACTAGGACACAAAGTGGAAAGCAACCAGTCCAGTTGGATTGTTACTTAGTAACCTAGCCCCGCCCCTTTTCTGGGCCTTGCACACATGGCCACCACACTCAGAGTTACATTACTCTCTAATGCAGGGCAAGCTGTCTCATGGCTAGGTGAGTACACAATTAAGGTAAATTATTTTGAGGGATTGGGGGTATATATTTCTTTGTGTCTGCACTTGTAAGTTATGTTTTGTCCTGATGAAAGCTCCATGTGGGAGCTGAAACGTTGACTTTTTAAATGGATTGAATAAAAGCTAAATTTTATTTGAAAATCTCTATAAAGTCCTTGGAGTGCGGTCATTTCTGCTATGTCTACATGATCCTTGCCAGACCAGCACCGGGCACCACAGGATTACACCAGGAGTGCAAGCCTTCGCTATTTATATAAGTCTTGTGTGTGTTTTAAGGACCCAGAATATGTATAGGAGATCTAGTGAGCATGCGTATATAACGGATTCAGAGTGTATATAGGGATCTAGTGTGTGTATGTGTGTAGATGATCCAGAGTTGGGTAAATGATCTAGTGTGTGTCTGGAATGTAATGTGTTTAGGGGTGCAGTGTGTGTGTGAGGGGTGTTGTGTGTGTGTGAGGGGTGCTGTGTGTATATATATATATATATATATATATATATGTATATATATATATATATATTATATAAATATGTTTGGAAGTATTGTGTATGTGTGTGATGCAGTGTATCGGGGGGTTTTGTGTGTATGTGAGGGGTGCAGTATGTTTGTGTGATGGATGCTGTGTGTGAGGTGTGCTGGGTGCTGTGTGTGTGTGAGGGTGCTGTGTGTGTGAGGGTGCTGTATGTGATTGATTTGTGTGAGCGTGCTGTGTGTGTGGGTGCTGTGTATGATGTGTGTGAGAGTGTTGTGTGTGATGTATGTGAGTGCTGAGTGTGATAGTGTTGTGTATGATGTGACGTGTGTGAGAGTGATGTGTGTGTGAGTGCTGAGTGTGATGTGTGTGAGAGTGCTGTGTGTGAGAGTGCTTAGTGTGATGTGTGTGAGACTGCTGTGTGTGAGTGCTGAGAGTGCTGACTGTGGTGAGAGTGAGTGCTGTATGTGAGAGTGCTGTGTATGATGTGTGTGAGAGTGCTGTGTATAAATGCTGTGTGTTGGGGGGTAAATAAACAAATAAAAAACTAAGTGGGGGTACATATACAATTAAAAAAACTGGTGGTCCTGAGGGCTAGAGTTCACTCTCGCGAGATCGGGGCGTTGCCATGGCAACGCTCCCGATCTCGCGTGAGGAACCTGGTGGAGCTGCAAGATAGAGCTCCGCCGGGTCCTCTCCCTCCCCAGCCGCATGTCTATTCAAATGGGCCGGTGAGGGAGATCTTTGATCTCCCCACCGGCCCTCCATGGAATACAGCGGGGCCAGCGCTCGGATAGTGCCGGCCCTGCATAGACCGGCAGGGGAGATCCTGGGACCTCCCCTGCCGTCCTCGGCCCATGGCCACCGCGGCCCACCGGCATTTGCCCGGTGTGCCCGATGGCCAGTCCGGGCCTGCCTTACCATCAAGACCTTCTGCAATATCACTAATAAAAATATTAAAGAGAATGGGTCCAAGTACAGATCCCTGACGTACCCCACAGGTGACAAGTCCAAACCTGAGAAGGTGATTAAGGACAAGCTTGGTCGTAATATTGTTTTTCTGGGTAAATCCCAGGTTTGCAATTGCTTTAATGCAGGTTCCTGTGGATTTAGTGCTTTGCATGTGTGCTCTCTTTGTTTTAGGGCACATGCCATAACAATGTGTCCAAATAAATTGTTTCTCAAACCCTATATGGCCTCAATCAATGTGACTTGTTTCGCCGACTTATTACATAACCACCCCTAAACCCACATGGTGGAGTTTTTGGTGACTGGAGTCACGGAAGGGTTCCATACAGGAATCATTTACATGCCATCTGGCATTGTAGAATGTAAGAACCTGCTGTCCACCCTTGCCAATCCTATAGCTGTTAACACGCTGTTACAGATTGAATTACATCAAGGTTTCCTACTTGGGCTGTTCAGTTACCCACCTTTCTCAGTATGAAGAATTAACCCTATAGGGGTGGTCTCTGGTAAAAGTTCAGCCAAGCAAAGGTTGATTGTAGACCTCTCTGCTCCTCACTCTTCCACAAATATTTAAATATGTATATATATATATTTAAATTCTACGTGCATATTTATGTAATATTTTTACATAATTAAGTAATTTTATTGATTGCAATTTGAGGGACCTGTCTGACAACCCAGGCCAAAAGTCCAGAGAATTTACTTTGCTAGCACTGTATTTAACTGCTTTAATGCTTAAAGGGACACTATAGGCAACAAAACAACTTAAGCTTAATGAAGCAGTTTTTTTGGTGTATATATCATGCCCCTGCAGTCTCACTGCTATATACTCTGCCATTTAGGAGTTAAATCACTTTTATTTCTGTTTATGCCGGCCTAGCCACACCTCCCTCTGCACTTACTCACACAGCCTGTGTGAAAAAAATTAAATTGTTTCATTTTTACCCGATGTTGACTTTCTTTAGACGTTTTTATTTCCTGCTCTGAAAATGTAACTTTATGCACACAGAGGAGGTTCCTGCAGGGTCTAGAGGGCTATTAACATAGCCCATGATAAGAAATTATAAATTAAATCACTTTGTTGCATAAACAAAGTGATTTAACTGCTAAATGGCAGAGAGTTAAGCAGTGAGACTGTGGGGGCATGATATATACACCAAAACTGCTTTATTAAGCTAAAGTTGTTTTGTTGCCCAGTGTTCCTTTAAGTATTATACCTGTATATTAAAATCCCTTTATTTTCTTTTAGTGGCACTGTCATTAGAACATTTCTATAATTCAAGGGATACTATATCTAACCCAGGGTGAGCATTAGGCAACACTAAAACTGATACTTATGCTAACCCTAAATATAGAGTGACCTAACTTTTTTTAAAACTTACAGTAGCACTAACCCAAGGGTAAGCTAACCCTAACAATTACCATGATCCTAATCTATGGTTAGCTATCGCAAACTTTAAAAGCAAACCCTAACATCAATGCTAAATATAGAGCTAGGGGTCAATAATCTTAATATTAGCACTAGGTTTACAGATATTCAACCCATATGCAGAAAAAACCCAAGTAAAATAATGGAGCTAAAATTCTTAAAATCAAAGTGCAACAGCTCAAAACCCACCAAAATTGCTAATATCTCCCAAAAAAGGTGTGCTGTGAATAATATTGAATATAAATATAATTAATGTGTTCCAATTGGTCCAGAGTTGCCGTTAATGTCTGGGTTAGCAATAGCTGGTAACAAGTAGCAATAGGGCCGGATACCAGTAGTTAAGTAGAGTTTTGTGATTCCTATAGAGAGTAATGGGAGATGTTAGCTGCTTCTTAGTGACTGGCTTTCAGCCCCAGACAGTGTACTATCTTATGATAATTGGTGCTATGTGTGATCCTGAGCATGTAGATCACCAATTATCACAAAGATAGGTCACTCTTTAGGGAGAAGCTCCTACATGTCCCTCTGCATCAGCATTCAATGAGTGATGAGGGGCAGGATGGGTAATTCCTGATTGATAGGATCTATGAGCAGAGGAAACATCTCTGCTTTAAATCCTTGTTTTGTCAAAATCAAGCAAAATTTAAACATGAACACTGCACAGCTATTATCTAAGCACCATAGCCACATCAATAAGCGTGGGTGGTTATGGTGTTTAGAGTATCACTTTAAGATACAGTTTTCAAAATGATGGAGTTTTTCCAAAACATTAAAAGAAGCCTATTATTTAGTTAGTCCCACATTATGCATAAGGATCATCATTGCACAGGTTTTCAAATAATCAGTTGTCATGTGTGTCCCCCGTTGGACTTTGCACGCACGCACACACACTTAGAATGAAATAAAATAGCTTTCGACAATTACATTTTCAATGCTTCTTTAAAGACTAATTGATCATCGGCAGATTTAAGTAACAGTAACATGCTTTTCATTAAAAGTCAATTTTAACCTGCGCATGCCACTTGTAATGTAAGTGAAAACTAAATAATTAATGTGTATTGATTTTATTCTTGCAGGATTGATAAAGCAATGCTGGCCAGTCTGAAAGTCAAGTAAGTCACTGTTTGTTTTCTCTTTTTATTTAAGCTGTTCTGCACTCCTGTTAAATTGAAATTGAATGTGTAATGGAAATGTTAAATAACTATTCTGATTGCCTCACCAATTCTCCTGGAAATTGCATTAATTTATATGTTTTCAATGTGAAAATGGCTTGTGGCTCACACATGTTTGTTCATGAACATCGACGGTAATGCATAAACCCAGATTAAAAGCACATAAAAAACGGAGTGATATCTGTGTTCTAAAGTGTTTTAAAGGTACACAATAAATATTTGACATTTTGATGTGTAGCCAAACAACTTACAAGTTGTTTAGTTGGGGGGAGGGGCTGGGCCGCTGAGCCGAGCGACAGCCATCCATGCTAGCTCCAGCTCTGGGTCGCCTAAACACACCGAAATACTGAACTAAAAGCTCACCCAGAGCCGGGGCAGACACAAGCATCAAGCAGGGAGAGACACAGGAGAAAAATGCAGGGACCTCCTGCCAAGCCGACACCGAGCAGCTCGCACAACCGGAGCATAATGGTCCCATGAGGCCTACACACACATGGCGACAGCAGGAGCCGCGAGACCAGATAGCAGAGGGAGAGAGGGGAGTCCGGACCCGGCCCCGCTCCCCCCCCTCCCAGTCCACAAGTCGCTCTCCGGGGACTGGAGGCAGAAAGCCCACATATGGCAGAGCCCTTTCCCACGTGGAGCTAAGATGGCCGCGGAACACGCAAGTCACTGGGAGCCATGCGGGGTCGCCAGAGCCCACTAAGGTGATGGATCCCACAGACGGACACCTCCGAGCGGCAGAATGGTCAGCGTGGAGCCGGCCCTAGCCCCTGGATTTGGTGGTGGTCCAGGGAGGCCTACCCCCAACTCTGTGAGCCCTATGGCGTCAGGGTGGACTGGACCCCCTGTGGACCGGTGTCTGGGGGGACAAACACCGGCGACATGCAAGAGGCCAGAAAAAGGTGAGGCCTACCGGGGCTGGAGCTCCAAGGGGGAACTGCAGGGGTTGGGGAGGTGCAGGGGACGGGGGCCCGAGAACTTTTCGGGGGGGGAGTCTGCTGGACTACTGATGTCCCTGAGTGCCCACAGCACTGTAGAACCCTAAGCCGGCCGGCCGGAGCAGGCCCGGAGGGGAAGAGAGGGGATTGGTTGCACCGGGGGAGCTGGAGAGACCCTGCAATAAACAACCAGCTTGGCATAAAGATGCACCCTTGGCATAAGCCTGCAAGAGGCCACGTAGAGGGAAGCCCGCTCAGATACCTCACAGGAGGCCATTAAACCCATGCTGGATATTTCTGGATTACAACTACAATCTCCAGTGGAGAGACTCACATAATATTGTTTCACAGATGCAGATCAGGATATACCATGTTGCTGAAATAATTATTTCTACTATCAATACACTTGATTCATGACATGCCTATTTCACAATTAACTAGACGCTGCTATAATGTGAAAGATATGATGTATCATTGCCTCACGATGCCTGACTAATATACTATTTCTGCAATATACGTTTAAGTGGTTATTTGAGCCTAACAAAGCCCTTCATGCTGAACATGGACAGTGCTTAGTATTAGCATTTGTTTGCTTCTATATTCTTTCACCAGTACATTCTAAACAAGTTATGCATTTTTGGTTTGGTTTTGCATATTTCTATTTTTAATTCTGTTTAAAACTGTATGTGAGGTTAATGTCACAGTGCTTCAAAGGGCTAAAGTACACTGTCGTAGATTGTTGCCTACTCAATAGATACAGACAGGATACATATCACGCTAAACTTTTTTGCATGGGTACCCGACTGAATGGACGCAACGCCTACAACAGCTGATACGAGGACTCTTAATTACGCCCAGATCACTAAGGCCGCACTCACACCACATGCTAGGCACACTAGGAATACCGACTTGAACTTAACATAAGACATAGGCACGTGGCCACACCGGCCTAAACAGGCTGAACTAAACCTTATTTTTTACTGAGAATATGTAGCTTGACTCATGATACACATGCGCGCTTGTGTGTAATACTTGCATCGACTTCACGTATTTACATTGACAATCCAGCCCATGCATACACAGCACTTTTAATTGTAATTAACCTGAATTATACATTTCGTCAGGCATAACTGTACACACGCGACAATAACACCAGTGCACGGCACTATCAGGCCCAATCAACGCCTTTGTGAAGCCCATGCAACTTGATTTCGGTCATTGCGTGATCACTCCGACTGTTATGCCTTCGTGCAGGCAACCATATGTTACTTTGATCAATCTGTCCGATGTTAGCCCTCAAGTTATTTACGGTCTCAATAAGCACGCCTCTGTGTAGGCGATTATTTGCTTCAACGATTAAATGTTTGATATCCGCGTTTATCTTGAGATGACAATAAAAATATTTAAAACAAGTTGATTAGTTATTTTTTCTAGAGCACTTTGTTCCACCAATCGCTTCTTATGCCCAAAAATCTAAAAGAGATGACCACTGGAAATAGAGCTGAGCTGATGCACATGACTCTGCAATCTATATTAACTCTCATACAAAGAATTGTGGGCTGGTAGCCATTTGTGCAGCAATCGTTAGCCATTGCTTATGGCCATTGTATAGAAGGCATTAGTGTTCTTCCAGTATATTTATCTATTAAATAGCATTTTAAATGACATGTTTTCCAGCACAATGCATAGGTTATATATATCCTTTATTGAGACTGAATTTGTTATGGTTATAATTCTTATTCTAGATGTTATATATGTTCTAACATCTTCATCCGAGGGTGTAGATGTTGTGGACTACTTCTCCCCTAATAGACCAATTAGAACTTCATTTTATTTGACCTAAACATTAAATTCCTATTCCCTTCAATTTCCAGTTGCGTGTATAAAGTCCTATTTGAAGAACAAACATTTGTCATGTTACAGTATTTGGCGCTGTTTCCCTCTGTAAGCCTATGTATAATGAGAGTGTACCTATAGCAGATACAAAGTTCCATATGATTTTATGCCTAAATATAATATTGATTGACAATCTGCAGGTCTAGCAACTCCTAAGCATTGGACAATGACACATCCATTAAAGTGTTTTTTAATACATCACATATAAGTTGGTCAGTGGCATGCTCTGACACAAAAATTGAATGGAAATTTGATGGAAAGAAATCGAAATTAGAGTAAAAAGCACTCAGTACGGAAAAATACATTGAAATATACACATTAATTGAGATAATGGAGTATATCTTCTGGACAGCTTTATATAGAAATGTGATTATCCATTGTGGTATGGTTTCTAGCAGATATATTTGTTCACGTATTTATTTACTTAATGCTAGTTTATGAAGTAGACATTTTATATCAGTTTTCTCTTTCAAGTTTTAATCCATTGTTGGAATTATTTTATGGTTGTATCCGAGTATAAAATGCATCTATATATTTAGGCGATATATTAAAAAATAAAAAAAACGATTTAAAGACGGAGATAGGTCAATGTCACACAGTAATGAAAAAGTAGATGCAAAATAGTGTTTCTTCATTTTGACTTCCGTGGGTACCACATGATCTCTAGCCTTCTAAATAAAAACAAACTGGATCTTCTGGGAAGACCAGACACTAGACTTTGGCTAATTCTGCATTACTAGCAAATGAGTGAACCATAGCTTATTAGAACTATAGGGTTAATACTACCACTTGAAACACCTTGACTTCCAAGTTTTAACAAGGTTAAAATGTCCATTCTAGTCATTTGTGCTTACTCCATCCATCTACTTGTAAGGGTAGTCATTGGCGCATCACACATCATGCTCTGAAGTCCAGAGGTGAGTTTCTAGCTCTATTGGGTCTATTTGAAACTAGTTACAGATATAGCTAACAGAGCACAGATAAACAGGAGCATGGGACCTTCAATTAACATAACATCTGCAGCAAGCATAGTTTATGTTATGTTCCTTGGAATGGCCCGTTCATTTAGCATACTGTGGTATGTGCCCTGTCAGGGTTCTTAACACTTCCTGTCTGAAGTGAGTGATAATAGGGTAGATTTAGAGTTTTTATTGATTCTTTAAAAAAAAACAATGTATCCGGTATCATGCGCAAAGTTTGGTTAATTCCCTACTTGGCGTGGTGTTTGCAGTGTCCAATTTACAGTGGCCCTGTTGATCATACTTAGACTCTGTCAAATGGTCTAGCATACAGACAAATCCACAAAAACCCATCACTGCAGAGAAATATTATTATTATTTTTTTTTTAAATGTAAGAAATATTGTAGCATCTCCGAGTAATGTGGTGAAGATGCTGCATTGAAATAAGAAACTTGTGAAATCACGTGTCTTCTCTTGCTAGAGGCAATCTTTAAATCAAATGCAAAGGACTTGGCAGCAGATGCGGGTATCTATTTAAACCAAGATTGGAATCCCAAATGAAGCAGAGATCACTAAGCTGTCTTATTTCTTCATGAAGGCAGTACCAGGAGCCGGAGGGGTGGTAATTCTGTAATCAGCATAGTGTTTTCATATTGTACTATGCAGTAAGTCATGTTTTGGGGAATCGCTAGGTTAAACAGCAAACAGACTCTTGAATTTTGTGTTATTTACTGAGATCAGGTAACTCAGAGGGATTTGAATCACATAGCCTTTAGAAATAGGTTTTGCCACGAGCCTGATTGATAGCACTTTCAGAAATTAGAGAGACCTTCCAAGGAGGCATGTGAATAAATGGCACATTATAGTGATGAAATGTGACAATGTTTTTTTCCTTTTGATCTATGCCCATAGCTATTTCGCGCAAATGTGTTTTGCAGTTAATAGTCTGAGGCAGAGAAAAACGTAAATAGCTGAGCATTTCTGGTTACTTAGGAAACTATTTTACAATCTGATGCTAACCTGATGTTATTGGACTTCATGTCACGTCTTATTTTATTTCATTTATTTTTTACTTAAGATTTAGTTTTAATTATCTGGGGTTTAATTATTTAACTCCGGATTCGAACAAACTGAAATCCAAATGGAAAATGAGGTTAAAATAACCACGCTGTCCATAAAGATGCATTTGTGAATTTGCCCGATCGGATATTTTAGGTTAAATGTTACTGTTAAAAATGGAATTTAATGAATATACCACTCTTAGTCCAAAATCCTATTTAGTTAGTTCACCCAATATATAAGAAAGTACGAATGCTCCCCAGCAGAGCCTTTCAACCTTTTATTCTTGTAAGGTAATTTAAATAATATTGAGTCATGTAATAATTATTGAATAATAATTGTAAAACCCCCACACAAATATGGCAATGGCAAATTTAAATAATTTTTTTTAGATACGTAGTCACTTGATCCTTCTCCACAAGATCACATGGAGAAGGTCCACCGACCACATCTATTTCTACCCTGAAATCTTGATAGTCGATGACAGCTTTCATAGTTTCTGTGAACATACAGTTCATAGAAATGTGAAGGCAATCAAGCCTTATTAGATGAGATAATTTAATTTAGTTCAGCAACTAGATTTTATACAAATGCCCAGATTATTTTAAATGTGCATGATATCGTCTTCAGACTTTTTAATAAATGTGGAAACAAGGTATTCTATGTAAAGTGATATTCTTGGGATATTTAAGCCTCTAATACAATATATATATATCTGTAAAACATGACTATCTATCAATTCTTACTTGTATTTTTCTTGTCTGGTTTTATATAACACATGTTTTCCAAACGTCAGTCTATATGTCTATAAGTCCTTTTTTACTTGGAGTTTAGAATGTTTGGTGTTCTTCACAGCCCAGTGAACGATACATTGTGTGGCGAAACCAGCCTTGCCACTGTCCACTGGAGGAGCCTGGTTGCTCACCTGCTCCCTTTAGACTATGGCCCGGCAGTTAAAACCTTTTATTTTCCCTGCAGAAAAGCGTATTCGTGCCTTTCTGCGGACTGTTAAAGCCATGCTACCCCAGATAGCTATGCCATGGAGCCCAG